CTTCAATGACTCTTTTTTACTATTAAAATTACCCATTTTTGCACTAATTAGCCTTTTTCCAGAGATACTTTTCTGAAAATTTCCTGTGTGGCCACCACACTCTGCCAGTAGTCCGTCACTACTGGTCTTTACTTTGAGACTTTCCCAGTGTGGCCACCGCACCCCGCCAGTAATCGTCACTACTGGACTTTATTATGAGATACCCACATCCCACTCTGAGACTCCCACGTCTCACTGGCCCTTTTGGGAAATGTGCACGTCTCACTGGCCCTTTTGGAATATCTTTTTAGTGCAACATTTTTTTCTCACCGTGCTTTTTGCAGCGTGATTTCTTTTAATCAGGATCGCGTCCACCTAGGCCTTCCGTGGTGTCCACAATTCTCCCGTCCCTCAAAGTTGGGGGTTTGGAGCCACAGACTTCTTGTCTTTGGGATGATCAGTCAATTGCTTCTTCCACGGAGGTCATCAGTTTTGCGACCACATCCTCGTCGCCAGATTGTCGTGGAAATTCTTTACCCAGATCTCAAATAACAATTGAAGAACAAATGAAGATCTCGAAAGTTATAAGTATTAGTGTTTATTTCTTGCAAGAAAGGCAGTTCACACACAGACAGAGTCTGATATGAGAAGGGCAAAAGTCTTCTCATTTTACACAGTTTATATACAAAAGAACATCCTCCAAAACGTACCCCTCCCTTTCTTATCTTCGTACAAGAGCTTGTGTTTTTCCGAACCTAAAGCTCCTTATACGTACATAGTTTTTAGTTCCCCATATTCTAACACTTATACACACACACACACATAGCCACACATATGTCATTCTAACACTTCTTAAAAACAACTAAATATGTTTTCCTCAGTGCAAGCAAGCTTATCGAAGAACAGAACATTCTGTTCATCTGCACACGTCCCCTTGACTCATCTGCACACGTCCCAGTGACCTAATTGTATAGGAGATCATGCATCTTGCAGTTTCTTTAACACATCTATATTTTAAAGAACACACATATATATATTGGTTTCAAGAGATATATGATTGATATATGATTAAAAGAAAAATTTCTCTTACATAACTAAAGATCTTCGCAATGGAAGTGAATCAATCAAAACTAACTTTAGCTGGACAATAACTTTATGCTAATGCTGTTGTAAAGCCTAAACAATCTGTTAACGTAATTTCTATTATAACTGTAAAGCTGCTCTGAAACAGTCAATACTGTTAAAAGCGCTTTATAAATGAAGGTGACATGACATGACTACTTTCTAAAAAAAATATATATATACAATCAAGATTTTTCATGCAAATTTATGTTATAATTATAGGCCTTTATACCTTGGTATCAGCTTGTGTTTTCATCAATGGTATAATTAATACAATTAAAATTTATTTGGTTTGTCATGATTCATTTGTGTAGACAAAATCTACTAACAAGAATAAACACATATGAACAATTAACTTATTATTGTATTATTAATTATTTGTAACTATCTTGAAACTATCCAAGCAGCGCTTCACGCTTAGATGTGATGGCTGAATTAATACATTACCTAAATGTGATTACAGAATATATTTAAATTATTCATCAAATTGTCATTTTCTCCTTACAGACTTGCGAGTTAACAATAAGGTCTGACCAGTAAATTACTTGGTGAACAAAGAAAACATTTTGGCATTAGGCATTGGCATTAGTTAAAACCTAAAAATGTAAAAGTTTTACCTTATAAATAGAATTTAGTTTAATTCATTTAAAAATGTGTTACCAGAGTGAATGGCAACATGATTTATTGAAAATATGTAAGTGGTTCTTAAGTCAATACTTTTTTAATGGCTTGTCAACTTTCCATTCCTACGCTGCATGATTCTTGTCAGTGCTGGATTCAGTGCTTGAGCACTGGTCTATGACTGGAAAAAATAATAAAGTCGTTGCAAAATAAATGATACATAGCTTACATTTCGCATTAAACTGGCAGATTTTAGAATGTTGTAGGCAATTCTTTTGCAAGTAATTAAATGTTTAATCTTGTCTTGCCTGAATCTTTGGTGTAAACATGTGAACATGCCAAGAGCACCTGAACGCCCCCCTTTCAAAAATCTTGCTTCCAATGCCCCCCGTTGTTCTCTGAACACCCCGTTGAGAAACACTAAATTAGATGATGCTATGTAATTTCTTAAGATGAGACTTTCTTTTTGTGCAAACCAAAGAAAATGTGAGGTATGAACTGAAGCATCTAGTTCATTTCTGCTAACAGGTGCTGTAAGGGCAGAATTTCCAAAGACAACTTTTGCCTACAGCGCAAATGTAACAATGAGCAATTTGCAAATAAAATTATTTAATTTGTTAAATATTTAAGTCCCACTTCAGTAATTCAGTAATGAGTTCTACTTGAGTATAAAAATAGTATGGCCTAGATAAAAGTTTACAGGAAAGGTGTTTTGAGTTGCAAATTAATCATAAAGTAAGTTTTATAATTATGACCTTTACCTTTTTAATAATTTACCCAAACTTTGATTATCAGGTAACCTGCTAAATTCAATTCAAATGTACTTCTATAGCACTTCTTTGCATGGTTGCAAACCAGCTTTACATACATACATATACAGTAGAAAGTAGTTACAAAAGTAAATATATGTAATTATGACAAATAAAGAAAACAACATCTAGTCAGTTTGAACAGAGGTTTTATTACTTTAATGTATTCCTAATACACTCCAATGCATCTATACTGTAATACACTTTTCCCATTATTGGTTATTTTAATGGCCTGTTGCTCTTTAAAATTTGGACTGCAGCCCTTTGGGCTGTCAAAATATTATGTATTATTAAACAAATTATTAAAATGATCTATAACCAGCCCTCAAAAATGTAAAAAAAAATGTAAAAAGTCAAATAAATTCAGAAATGTTAACTGCATGATAAGTAGCAATCTATAATGTATTAAAATAATTTGAATTCATGCGTCACATTTAATTCCGCAGCGTAATGCAAGACCGTCAAATCATTTCATTGCATTTTAGGCTACATCAGGAGAAGTTGTGCAGTACATTGAGATTTGAAGTGGGCAGAGACAATTGGCAGATGGATGGTTTTATTCCATCTGCACGCACTGAAACACAAGCAGTTCTGCACGTTCACATTCTTCCACCAACATACGGAACTGTGTGTTTTAGTCCGTACACAAGAATGAAACTAATGTCATGCACATAGGCGTCATTTACGGGGGGGACGGGTGGGACATGTCCCCACCACTTTTTGCCAGGGTCGATATTGTCCCCACCACTTTTGAAACATCTCGCGTCACGGATGTACCAATAGAAAAAATAAAACATCTCCAGTTAACTAGCAGCATTCGTTTCATTCATTTGTTAAATAAGACGCGATCTAGCGCTGAAATGTGTTGTCTTCACGCGCGCTTCAATCCGTTGCAGAGATTCTATTCGTTCCAGACAAATCACAATTCAAAATGCACACAAACGTGTCCCTGCTTCTCTGGGTTCTAATCCGCACTCGTATAGTTTTTTTTTCCCTCATCAAAACCGATAATGTTTATCAGTGATAAAGTATATCAAGATTCTTGATATACAACCACTGATAAACATTATCGGTTTTGATGAGGGAAAAAAACTATAGAGGGTATGCGCATGACGTCACCGTCGGCCGGAGTGAATGCGGTCACGCCCACAAGTGGCAAAAAGACTGAGCGGCAGCATTTGTTTTCAGCGTGAATGCCGTGAAAATCACACAAAACACAGCTAAAACGGGAAAGAGCTTTGCGATTGACTGTACAACTAGATTTGACCAGAAATCTGAGGTACTGTATATTTTTACAGACTGCAAAAAGCTACAGAACAGACTATATTCTGCTTAATTGGATGTTTTTAAATAAACACTGACAAAAAACTATACAAGTTTTAGGGCTGGACGATATGATGATATACAGTATAACATTAAAGTAAGTGATCACTCGGATTTAGACCTATCTATATTGTATTTATATAAAACGTTTACAGGCAAATTGTCTTCATTTATTTCCCCGGCGTCGAAATCAGGCACATATAAATGTCAGGAAACACGATTCCTGGCTGCATGTCAATATCCATGGATCACTGGATCTTTGATAAGTTGTAAGGCACAATATATCGAGTCCAACTTTTAGTTTAAACTGATAATAGTTTGTCTTACTTGCGTTAACGCAGTTTCCCCTATTAACTCCAGTCACGCAGCAGCTCTTCTGCCACTCAGTCCAGCTGAGGGGGGCGTGTTCCGGCGGGGAAGTGACGTTAATGCATTCCCTCACCGAGTGCGGACTAGAACCCTCAACCTCCGACACGCTTGGCAAAAATTCTGCCACTGGACTATCACAATACATATGCAACGCAGGCGGATCTATGTATTTACTACGATACGATACTAACAACATATTAGATCTCATTTTACGACCAATTAAACCCAAAGTACCATCACATTTTTGGTCGGACATCATACATTTTTATTTATTTCAATCAGTAAGCTACAGGACATCGTCTTTCAAACCATGACCTGCGCGAAAGAGAAAAAAGAATGAATGCGTCATTGTACCCAGCACTTTTGAAAATGGCCTTCCGAATGCGTCTCTGTCCCCACCACATTTCAAACCAGACGCCCATGGTCATGCAGGTTTATGCAATTGCTTCCTACCGCATTAATGAAAGATCATGTCAGGTTGAAGGGAAGCAAAACATTCTCCAGTTGATATTTAAGTCACCAGTAGTTAGGGAAATGAGAAACAGGTGTGACAGAATCAGAATTCGGATGTGTGAGACCTGGTGGCGTTCAGGGGTAGCAACCCATTCAGCTGGTGTCGTGTTATGTTTTATTTTATTTTATAATGAGTAAATTCGGGATAGATTGTTTGTTTGGAAGTAAATATATTAGTAAATGTGTGTGTGTGTGTGTGTGTGTGTGTGTGTGTGTGTGTGTGTGTGTGTGTGTGTGTGTGTGTGTGTGTGTGTGTTTCTTCAGGCTCTCCGCAGTTCTCAAAGAAGCACCAAACCTGTGTATGTTTCTGTGGGTCATCGAATCAATCTGGATACAGCAGTCAAACTTACACACACCTGCTGCCTGTACAGAGTACCTGAACCAATACGACAGGTACACGCATTTGATGTCACTACTGCTAGCATTAACCAAAATGACAAAAAAAAATCATACTAAAGCCCTATTTGGATGGTAATTGTTGCTCATGTGGATGCTTGTAAAAATAAATTGGCATCGCACCTCAGTGATGTAGTGATTTATGGTCTTAAATATTAATATTCAGTATTAATATTAATATTGAGTTTTTGGTCACACGTCATCTAAGGCGAGTGTGAGAGTTTCAGATGATTTCTTCCTATATATTATGGGGCACCAGCCAAGGAACTTCACCTTGACAATAAAGAAAAATCATGGAAGATTGTTAAAAGAATTAGAATTATATAAATTATGGGAAGTTCATCATCTGATCAACCTGAAGGATTTAGTGAGATTCTGGCGAGCTTGTAGAGCCTCCAATTATCAACACAAGAATGACACAGTTTAAAATGATTTTATTAAATGAGTTCAATACAGTCTTAAATGAACGTAAAGAGCTGTGGGAGAATGAGACGTGTGTGAGAACCACGTCTCTGTCAGCAGCGGCATATCTTAAAGTGACAGCAGCCAATAATTCTGTCTGTCAGTAAAGTTAATCAAAGAACAAAGGTAACAGAGAAAATTACTCACTGCTATTGACTAAAAAACTTTTGTAGCTTTAATGAGGATTCATCTATATTTAATTTATAATTTATGCAGTGCAGACTGTTTGATAACTTTATTAAATTTCTGTATATTTCCTACCTGTTAGACATGTAGGAAGGGCACTAATACATATGACATGTATTATGTGTTTATCTGAAGATTGTTTGAAGTTTACTAAAATTAAAAGTTATATTTTTTTAAGCCTAATAAATGTTGTTTTTTATAGCTTTCAATACACTGTAATGTTGAATGGCTATAATTAAAGTCTAAAATGGGGTGTCAATTTCATGGGGACATCAGTCCAGTCAAGTCACCTTAATTTCTAAAGCGCTTTTAACAGTATGGATTGTTTCAAAGCAGCTTTACAGTTATAATAGAAATTACCGTAACAGATTGTTTAGGCTTTACAACAGCACTAGGATAGTTATTGTCCAGCTAAAGTTAGTTTTGATTGATTCACTTCTGTTGCGAAGATCATTAGTTATTAACTTAGGTGTCGCTAACACGACACCGTTCTAACAGAAAAACTCTTAACGCGCTTTGGCCGCCAATACGCACAAAACAGTGCCTGGTGCCTCGAGAACGCACTCCCTGAAATAGGTTCGAAGGTGCAAACGATAATCCGTTATCTCTGCGCAAACCTCAAAAACGCAAACCCGCGAAAACGCAGACGGCGCGCACATGCGCATCACATGTTCAGTCCATAGGTATACGGATACGCGTTTGAATATATACACTCACCGGCCACTTTATTAGGTACCCCATGCTAGTAACGGGTTGGACCCCCTTTTGCCTTCAGAACTGCCTCAATTCTTCGTGGCATAGATTCAACAAGGTGCTGGAAGCATTCCTCAGGGAGTTTGGTCCATATTGACATGATGGCATCACACAGTTGCCGCAGATTTGTCGGCTGCACATCCATGATGCGAATCTCCCGTTCCACCACATCCCAAAGATGCTCTATTGGGTTGAGATCTGGTGACTGTGGAGGCCATTTTAGTACAGTGAACTCATTGTCATGTTCAAGAAACCAATTTGAAATGATTAGAGCTTTGTGACATGGTGGAAGTAGCCATCAGAGGATGGGTACATGGTGGCCATAAAGGGATGGACATGGTCAGAAACAATGCTCAGGTAGGCCGTGGCATTTAAACAATGCCCAATTGGCACTAAGGGGCCTAAAGTGTGCCAGGAAAACATCCCCCACACCATTACACCACCACCACCAGCCTGCACAGTGGTAACAAGGCATGATGGTTCCATGTTCTCATTCTGTTTACGCCAAATTCTGACTCTAACATCTGAATGTCTCAACAGAAATCGAGACTCATCAGACCAGGCAACATTTTTCCAGTCTTCAACTGTTCAATTTTGGTGAGCTCTTGCAAATTGTAGCCTCTTTTTCCTATTTGCAGTGGAGATGAGTGGTACCCGGTGGAGTCTTCTGCTGTTGTAGCCCATCCGCCTCAAGGTTGTGCGTGTTGTGGCTTCACAAATGCTTTGCTGCATACCTCGGTTGTAACGAGTGGTTATTTCAGTCACTGTTGCCCTTCTATCAGCTCGAACCAGTCTGGCCATTCTCCTCTGACCTCTGGCATCAACAAGGCATTTCCGCCCACAGAACTGCCGCTCACTGGATGTTTTTTCTTTTTCGGACCATTCTCTGTAAACCCTAGAGATGGTTGTGCGTGAAAATCCCAGTAGATTAGCAGTTTTTTTAAATACTCAGACCAGCCCTTCTGGCACCAACAATCATGCCACGTTCAAAGTCACTCAAATCAACTTTCTTCCCCATACTGATGCTCGGTTTGAACTGCAGGAGATTGTCTTGACCATGTCTACATGCCTAAATGCACTGAGTTGCCGCCATGTGATTGGCTGCTTAGAAATTAAGTGTTAACGAGCAGTTGGACAGGTGTACCTAATAAAGTGGCCGGTGAGTGTACGTTGAGTGTTTGAGTGTATTGGGACTGAAGCGCCAGAACTGCAGCTGATATAATGTGCGCTGTAGCACGATACTACCATATTTTAGTTTCCATTCTTATTGTGTTTCCACAACAATGTTAGTGAGTAAATCTACTGAAATTGCCACCATAACAGTGGAGTGTGATGTGTGAGACGTAGGACTACCACATTTAAAAATTACTATTAGTATTATTTGAAGTTAACATAATAGGAAATACGCAGACCTACACCAAAAAACTAGTTGAGGATAAATTCTTTAAAATTGGGCTATTCCAGCGTTATGGACGTGACATTTGCAGTCAAAACTTGAAATGTAAATTATCAGAAAATGCATTTAATACTGAAACGTCTGTTTATGTCACGGTGTATGAATTCATTGTCTCTCTCTCGTCTTGCGTGCTGTTGTGTGTGTGTGTGTGTAATTGGGGGCGTGGTCACTGATCAGCAATGATCAGCAGCGCCAGCTGGCTTCAATCTGTTTTACCCTTTATATGTTCAGTAACTGGTGTCTCATGTTGTCAGATCGTTGTTCTCCCGGTGTGTTCCTGTTCCCGAGTATTGTTGGCCTCCTGTGGATTTCCCTGTTCGTCTTCGTTCTTCTTCGAGTTCCTCGCACTTCCACGGATTCACTTCACTCACGGATCATCTTCACTGGACTAGGAGCACTGCACTGGTTGTTCACCGAGGTCCCTGCGTCACTCTACATCAGCGCTGGATCCTGCCCGATCCTCCATTCCTCTCCAGCTGTGTTTTTGTGACTCTGACCAAACAGTTAAATACTTACCTCTAATAAAGCGTTTTTGCTATTGCATCTTTCTCCTGTGTTACGTAACAGAACGATCTGACCAATCATGGATGCAGCAGGCGCAAGAGACTGGGATGAGTTTGCCAATCGGAGAATTGCGCGTTTGGACCAGCAGGATGAGGGCATCAGCAACACAGGTCGGGCGGTCCAAGCGCTTGTGACGCAGGTGTCCGAGCTCACCCAACAACTTCAACATCTGAGAATTCCTACTGCGCCACCCACACCGCCCGTTCAACCCGTACCACCAGAGCCGCACCAGCAGCGGGAGCCACGCCTACCCATCCCTGAAGGATATTCAGGTGAACCTGAATTTTGCAGAGCTTTCCTGACCCGATGCTCTATGCATTTCTCATTGCAACCACTGATGTTTTTCCAGGAACAAAGTAAAGTGTCATTTGTTCTGACTTTACTGTCTGGCAAGGCGGCTCTCTGGGGAACGGCGGTGTGGGAGAATCAAGACCCATGCTGCGCCTCGTTCCAGGCACTCTCCGAAGAGATGAGAAGGGTCTTCGATCGTGCGGTGGCGGGTAGGGAGGCGGCCAGACTACTCGCCGATCTCCGCCAGGGTAATGGCTCGGTGTCGGAATATTCCATCCAGTTCCGCACCCTGGCCGCAGAGTGCCGTTGGAACGAGGAGGCGCAGTGGGACTGTTTCCTGCATGGGTTGGCTGACCGTGTCCAGAGGGAAATTTATATGTTGGATCTGCCTCAGAATTTGAATGGACTCATTGAGCTAGCACTAAGAGTCGATGCTCGGCTGAGCAGGATGGGTCGGTTTCAGCAGAGTCATCAGTATCTCAGCACGGAGGATTCCCGGGTCGGCAGCAGGGACACGGCCAGCCCCATCCCCGATCCCGAGCCCATGCAGGTGGGTAGAGCTCGGCTTTCCCGGGAGGAGCGCGAGAGGCGGAGATCCCAGGGACTATGCCTATACTGTGGGAAGGCGGGCCATTTCATTCATGCCTGCCCAGTAAAAGATCAAGCCCGGTAGTAACTTTGAGGCTACTATCGGGTGGGATCTCCGCCAAAAAGACCTCATCACCATTATCATCTACCCTCCTCCCGGTAAGACTAAGGTGGGCAACCTGCACACACGACACCAAGGCATTACTGGATTCTGGAGCAGAAGGTAATTTTATGGATTTTGGACTGGCAAAGAAACTTTCTATTCCCATTTCTCCACTCGAGCACCAGATCTCCGTTAATGCCCTCAATGGCCAACTCCTCCCCGACATCTCTCACACTACTGAATCCATCACTCTCATCACATCCGGCAATCACATTGAGACTATAAAATTCCTCCTCATGGACTCACCACTCGCACCAGTTGTACTTGGTCATCCGTGGCTCACTTTGCACAATCCTAGAGTTGATTGGGGCCACAATTCAGTGTCTACATGGAGTAATAAGTGTCATGAGTCTTGTCTCGTGTAGGGTATGGAGCAATTAGATACACGCTAATTATTCATTATATACAAAGGTTTATGAAACTCCAAAACTAACAGCCCAAATGAAACAAACACACTGGCAGAACCAGGGTGTCCTGTTACATTGAGACTGATAACAGACTTTTATGACTTTAAAAAGGAATGTGGCCACATGTGCAAGAAAGAGACAATGGGAAGACAGAAACCCTCTTTAATACAAACTTTGCTGCATTAGTCATATGCCTCCCAGAAACTGTGTGAATGATCTAATGTTTTGTGTACTTTTAAGTACTATTATATATAATCCTACGGTATGTATTTGATTGGTATGTATTTGGTTGTACAACCTACCAACGGGCAATGTAACCTCACCTGTATCATGTCTCCTACCTAATTAATCCTCACCTAATGACTCACACTTTGATGTACATCACATTCCTTTAGAATGCACTGTGGATTTGTTATATCTATCTGGGGCCGTATTCACAAAGAATTTTATCTTACCACTAGGAGTACTCCTAAATGGCACAAAAATATTTTAGCTAGGAGTTTTCTCTTAAAAGTTATTCACAATGCCTTTCAGACCTACTCTTAGTAAGGAAAATTGACAACTCCTAAACTAAGAGTGAGTCATCGTTGCTATGGATGACGTCAATTCTCATGCACGAGCTTCCTCGCAATGATCATGGTGATTGGTTGTTAGATGACAGGGCCATCATGCGGAACATAACACAGACGCAACAAATCATGGAATTACGATATCTTAAAATGTCTGTGTCCTACACAAAATAATAATAGTAATGTCATCGAAATGCATATATAATGACATGTTTGTGCAGGCCCCAGTGTAATTCTAAAAAGGCAGAGAGGGAGAGAAAAGTCGTGAATTAAATTAAATTAAGCCTAATACCTTAATGAAAACCGGCACTTGCCTAATAATGAAAAACGACACTTGCATTAACACTTGCTTG